TATAATGCTAGATAAGGTGTGCTAGTACATTATTTCAGCAACATGACAAGCCAGTGAATTAGCAGGTTTCAATTGTTGCTTAGCAGAGTGCGTGACATTCTATCTACATGTTATGCGGCTAGAGTTTTGACACCGAATCAATGGGCTCTGTGTAATTCTTTCTTTTTCGCTTGTTTATCGTCATCGGTCTTTTTCCTTTTACCTCTTTGTTTTATGAGCACGTGTCACTCGAGAATTGGCAGTTTAGGTTGTTTCTCCGTCATAAGCACAGCTGCAGCACGCCGGCAATCTTGAGTTTGAACGACGGTACGCCGCGCGCTGTGCAAGAGAGGGGTGTGATCAGCGCGTACACGAGTGTGATTGACACTGCTAAGACATTCCTCCTGGCTCTGATTGGTTGTTTCTGACCGGGAGCGTGTATTTCTGCAAATGGCAATAGGACCACTGGGAGGAGCCAGAAGAGCTTGATTTTTTCACAGATTATCTGTCTTATATTCTACTGTCAGGACATAATGACAGTTTTAACAAATATGTAAAAAAATATTTTTTTACAAAAGTTACCTACAGCAGCTTTAACCAGAGTGTAAAATGTGACTTTTCAATGCTCCTTTTTATCATGTTGTGTTGTCTATATCTTTAATTCAGTTGTATTATCACATCACATTTGATGAAATTAAAATTCAAACACAATACGATATATGAATACAAAAATCTAAATACCAAATTCAACATTCACACAAAAGGTGAAAAGATCCTAAAAATTAGTATCTATTTACATCTACACTGCATTATTTAGGAAGTTTTTATGGTTTATTTGGTTCCTGGTTCCTGTTGACAAAAACAAATAGTAGACAGCAGCACACAAGTGTGGTTGTAAAACCGTCACACACAATACATCTGTTTGTGGTAACCGAGCTACTGAACAGAGCAGTTGGTAGACAAGCGGATTGCCCAGCCCTCATGACACATTTGAATTCTGTGTCTGTAAAAGCACTTGAATAGTTTCACCTTATGGGCTCAAAAGACACCGTGGATCAATTTACAACTAAATGCATCCTATCTGTTTCTCGCTTCCACATATTGTTACTCTAGCTAGAACTCTTCTTTTTCTCCACCTTTCTCTTCTTTGTGTTCAATTTATGTTGTTATTGTTTTCTTCATTAGTAAAGAGCTCAGAAATAATGAGTCCCTGGTGTAATGTGATCAGTTCCATCAGTTCATTCAATGCCATAATTTTGCAAATTATTACACCTACTCCAAAGTTGTGATAACCATACAGAGAAATCACATATCCAAAGAAATCCACATCACATAAAATAAAATAAACCCAACAAGGTGATCAGGTGTTGCATCATCCTGCAGTTCTCTGATGTACAGGTGAAACTTGAAAAATTTGAATATCGTACAAAAGTTCATTTATTTCAGTAATTCAACTAAAAAGATTAAACAAGTGAGATATTTCAAGCCTTTATTTGTTATAATTTTGATGATTATGGCTTACAGCTATGAAAACCTTTTCACAATATTCTAATTTTGAATTTGGGGTTTTCATAAGCTGTAAGCCATAATCATCAAAATTATAACAAATAAAGGCTTAAAATATCTCACTTGGCATGTAATGAGTCTATATAATATATTAATTTCACCTTTTAAGTTGAATTACTGAAATAAATGAACTTTTGCACGATATTCTAATTTTTTTAGTTTCACCTGTATCACCTCTATCACCCTGATAACTGCCTATTCCACGAGTTCACACGTACATGAAATCTAAAGTTATATTTATGGGTATTTGGCTTGCTGTCCGGGGAGGGCTAGCCTGGTTAAAACCAGACCATTCTCAGTTGTAACTGAGTTATGGTCTGGCAAAGCGTCATAGACAAATCATTTCCAGAGGGGCGTCCCCAACGGACGTCGCGGATAGACCTAAAACCAAATCCATCGACTGGAAGTTGAAGTTGAGTCAGTTTGAGTCTGTGCGTCAGGAACGGAAGTGCTCAAAAATCGCTAAAAATGGGCTTCAACTGTCTCAACTGAGTTCCAATGAGATGACTCTGTCCACTTCTTATACTGTCTATGCCTAAAACCAATCAGAGCAATGAAGGAGATGACGTATGCAGAGCGGCGGAGAATCTCCGAGTGTTGTTCTTTGCTCGGTTTTTAACTAAAAGGAAACGTTCAAATCGCTTAAAACAGACGCGATAGCTGATTCGAACGAGTGATGTTCGACGGCGACATCCATCTTTGTAATGTTGGCTACAAAATCTGCTTCAAAATCCCAGCGCTGTCCTCATCATGTAAAGCCCGCCCCAACATTTCTGATTGGTGCCTCGATTTTGACGGATTGGAAATGAGCTTGAATGAGCTCTTTGCCAGACTAACTTTTAGAGCAAATCTAAATTTGCCGGAAGTTGTCTGGGTTTTCCCAGGCTAGGGGAGGGCTCCAAGCTCGGAATTTTGCCCGAACCCAGAGTACTCCCCCCTATACTGGGGTAGACCCAGCCGAGTGTGAGGTGATGGGGTGGTGGAGGGATGCAGAGACACTTGTCGTGAGACAGGAGGTGAGGAAAAGCTTTATGTATACCGGCTTCCTCTTGAGCTGATTGGTTGATTACCTGAACGTGCTCCTCCCGAACTTTGTTACATAAAACTTCATTTTGTGATTTTCAGTATGTTAGAATGTAACATGTCTTTTTCTGTTTGAAGGTCTCTCTTACAGTTTTTTGTTTTAGTTTTTTTGGCTCACTATAGCCTATATGTGACCTGCTCATTTTATATAATTTACATATTTGATTCTCTGCTAAGTATATAATTATTGTTTCTAGAATAGCCTCTGAAGATAAACAGTTTTTGACAGAATTAAGAGATTTATTTCGAACATACTGCTTATTAAATACGTACCACATTAAAGAGCAGCAGAATATTTTTTTTTTCATTATAAAATCAACAATTTCAAAGCAGAGACTTTTTTGGCTTTTAATTACAAATCTCACAAATGGTTCTGTCAGTTCATGCCTATGTTTTAAACATTTTAAAGACTGAAAACTTATAGCATCCAGTTATGTATTGCAGAAAAGTCCCCAAACTGTTTTTCTGCCAGTGAGTCTTTATGCACAAATCTGTCATTTTTGCTTAAAGTTCACATCAGTCAAAACTTTTTTACAGATTCTGAGTGGAGCCCAGAATACCAAAACTCGGAAACAAAACATTTTCTCTCAAATAGCGGTAAACTGTTTACTTATCTGCGCATTCACTATTGAGTGCTGGCTTCTCAGTCATCTGTTAAGTTTTAACACATTCACCTCGTTCCTCCAGTTACTCTTCCCAGTCTGAGGATTTTGTCAGCAACGCCATTTACCCAAGTATTCATGCACCTTCAGAGAAACACCATTGAATGACTTCACATGTGTTTTGAAAGTTTTAGGTTCACCCAAAGGAGTCACAGTTTCACTTTAGAGATAAAGTGAAGTTGCATCTTCTCTCATGGGTGGACTTTACCTTTTTAAGAGTACTGGATATGGACTTATGGTTGTTTAAATTGGCACCTGAAGCCATCGCTGTGCAAAGCTGATTTGCACGATTGGTGTCTATTTCCGTAGACTGAATGTTAACATTACAGAATATGTAAAATATTAGGTCTTTCTTATAATTTTCAGCCTGTCTACAGCCTATTTGAAGCTGAATCAAACTCAGACATAAACTTTAGATCTCAGTTCTACTCCATACTGAAGACAAAACAAAACTGCAAATCAAGGTACAGGAGACAGTGTTTTTGTTGTATTTGCCGGGATGGCAGGTTAATGTGTCTTTTGAAGAGAGAAGCACGTGGTGGAGTCTTTGGCACTTTGCCACGCAAACCTTAATAGGCTTTTGGTAAACCACCTCAGGATAAAGTTGTAATCTTACTCTCTCCCCTTTTCTGTCGCTTTACCACACTTCATATTAGACCACAAGCAGAGAGGCTCCGGTCTCTCGTCAGCAAAATTGGAGCCTCCTTTTTGTGGGGATCTGAGAGGGCTGAGAGTAATTTTCACTTGAGTTTGTCCTCTTAGCCAGCAACGAAGAGCTTTTTAGGCATTTAAATCAGTGGCCTCACAAATGATTCATTTTTTTCTTCTTAATAGAGGCAGTTTTTTTGGGAGGGGGGGGGTCGGTGTTTGTAGTAATGCACCATTAAAGTCTGTGAGTTGTAAATCATCTCAACCGATAGTCTTTCATTCCTCACCCTAACGCTGCCCATTGAATAATGAGCATCTCTGATTTATAATTCAGAGTGGAGACCATGAGTGTTAAGCATCATAACATAACCACAGGCACTCACTAGTAGCAACTAATTAAAGCACAGTACTCTCTCTCTCTCTCTCTCTCTCTCTCTCTCTCTCTCTCTCTCTCTCTCTCACTCTCACAAACGCACAGACACACGCATATTTATTTACATCTTCATTTAATGCACTTTATTAGCAGCAGCCTTGGAATACAGATGGTTTTACTCTGTTGTGCATAGTTAAAAGAGGGAGGAAGACGGGCGTTTCTGGTGAAAGAATGCACATCCGCAAGTATTAGGTGAACGACAAAAGTTTTGCATTCTTGAATGTCTGTAGTACTGCTCCATGTTTATGAAATACATCAATGCAGTTACGCTAATCCTGTCAGGTCGTTTGTTGTAGTGTCAGCCGAGGGAAAAGCACATTGTCTCAGGTGTGTTTTGCAGCCAGTAATATTTCTTTGTGCTGACTTGCAGAAGATAATGTGGGATAGAGACTACCCGTTGCAGTGCAGGTTTTATCCTCTATTGTATAATAGAGATATTCATGAGCAGAAATAGGATCATGCCAGCCTCATTATTCAGAGACCACCTGGTTCATTGGCTTCTAAATAATATGTGCTAGATAAAATAAAGATGTGTTCGAGATTGATATTATGTTTTTGTGCAGGTTGAATTTACAAAGCAATACTCCCACTGTGTTTATTGGAGTATATTGTTTTTTTCTGTGCCGCAGCCCGCAAGCTGAGAAAGATTGGACAGATGAAAGGTCCGGATGAGGTCGGCTCCGTTCAGGGCCCGTTAGAGACTGTCCAGTGCCTGTCGCCCAAGCCCTGCCTGACGTTCCACTCGCAGCTGATCTTCCTGAACATCCTGGAGGCCATCGAGCCAGAGGTGGTGAACGCCGGCCACGATCACGCTCAGCCTGACTCGGCAGCTGCTCTCCTCACCAGCCTTAACGAGTTGGGAGAGAGGCAACTTGTCAAGGTAGTGAAATGGGCCAAAGGACTTCCAGGTAATTTAAGCATGTCAAATTGTCATAACTCATTTCAGTTTCTATTTTTTTATCTATTAGTTTATTTTAAAATATATCAATAAGTTAATACAATCATGTAAATACACCTCTTCGGGTAAAAAAAAGGTCAGGATGTCATAATGAATAAAAAGCCTCATTAACCAAACACATTTTTTAGAGAAAAGTTTACATTTATTTATAGTTTGAAGTAGTTTGGTATATTATTTTATTATTATTTATTTGAACAATTAAAAAAAACATTTTAACAACACTGCTTTACTGCTTATAATTATTTGAAAAACATTTTTGTACCAAATCAGTATGTGGTGCAACAACATGCAGAATTATGCAGGAAATAAAAACATAAAACAACAAATTATATCACAGAGAGGACCCCTGCAGACCCTCATTGTCTCTTAAAACATCAGATCTTTTGACTTTTTATGACAAAACAAGGTTAGTTCAAGTTGTAAAATGTCCTATGATGTACAATATGTATTCAATGTGTAATGAAAGTATTTGTCACGGTCCGTGGTGTGGAATAAATCCGTGGATTCAAGTGCAGAGTAAGAAGTATTTAATAAGGACCAAAACATAAAATAAACAAAAGAAAACTACAACGTACAAACTTAATCCAGAACAAACCGGGCGGAAACAGAACTCAACACGACGAATACACGTAACAAATACAACGAACGAGCACAGGACAGCAAACACAGGAAGACTAAATAGGAAGGCAAATAAGGCGGGTAACGAGGATAACAGGTGGGACAAATAAACCAATAATCAGATAACAAGCGGGAGGGACCAGACATGGCCCAACATAACAAAACACTCAAGTGCATAACCAAGACAGGACAGACATGTGACAGTATTACTTTTTACTGTTTTAAAAAAAACAAATGAAACCACTATAAATACAAAGAGTACATAAAAAAAACCGAATTTAAAAAAGATTCTGCCTGTTGATTCATGTCGGGACATCAGTGGAGTATTTTTTCACAGTGATTTAATTATGGTTTTATTTCCAATTGAAAGGCTTGAAGAGTACGTGTTGTGTAATCTACTTCCCTCTAATGGCTTTGATAAAGGGCGTTTTTGAAAAGCAAAGGCTGACTTCAATCCTATGTAAAATATGCCGACGGCAAACCATCAAATACTGAGAGAAAAATAGCAGGAGGGAAAGGGATGTATTTTTTTTAACCTCGTTTTGTGACAGTGTGTGATGGAATTAGGTTGATGTGATTGGTTGCGGTTCTCCAATGTCCTTTTATTGATAGCAATAATAAAACTGTAATGCATTTTAATCTGCACTGAAGCTAATGGTGAATCTGTTCAGAGAAAAGTGACATCAAGTTTTAGCCCAGGAACGTGCAGCATGTTTCCCCTTTGTTTCCTGACAGCAGTGCATATGCTGCCTGGTCTTCTACAAACTCAGTTTTGTTTGGTTCAAGTCGATGTACTAAAAATCCTCGGTTCCGATAGGCATGCATTTTTTTTTCAAAGTAACGTCAGATTAAGTCTGATTCATCGCCTGAGTTGGCGGAATTGAAATAGAGTCGTAAAGTAAGTTAATATCACCCAGGCAGCTGACAAACTGTGAGCTATAGGCGTCAAACACAAACCACAAATATCTCTCCCATCTCTCAGGTTTCCGTAACCTGCATGTGGATGATCAGATGACAGTCATACAACACACTTGGATGGGAGTGATGGTCTTTGCTCTGGGTTGGAGATCCTACAAGAACGCCAATGCGCGGATGCTGTATTTCGCTCCAGACCTGGTCTTCAATGAGTCAGTCTTATTCCCTTTTATATCCGCCCTGCCCTTATTTGCCTGTTTTCTTTTGTGTCCAGCACCCATCAGTGTTTTGCATTGTTGCCTCCTCCCTCTCTCTCTCTCTCTCATTCCATTTTCTTCTTCTGTCCATTTGTTCGTCTTGTAAATGTACTAATCCATCTTTCCTCAAACTCATTTTTCTTTCATTTCTCCTTAGCGGCCCTCTCTCTGCCTTATTCCATCTCTTTATCTTCCTCTCTCTCTCTCTCTCTCTCTCTCTCTCTCTCTCTCTCTCTCTCTCTCTCTCTCTGTCGAGCAGGTACATATCTTGTACTTCATGCACACAATAACAGTCCATCGTGGAGACTTCCAAGATTCATTTACAATTTACAGCTGGCTTATTATGGTGTGGAGGATCTTTGTCACAAACACAATCCCAGGAGAGATTGGATTTTTTGGGGAGCACACATGCTCTCAATGGCCTTTTTCACCAATATCTGAAATAGAAGACTTCCTTACTAAATGCATCTTGGCCATATCCCTTACCAGTACTGCCGACAGGAATTGCGTTTTAGGCATGAAATATATTTAATTCAGTAGGAGATTTAGGAGTCATTATATGACTGACCGCATTATTCAGTAATACTATATAGTAATTAGCGGATGGAAAGTTCTTTCAATCTGAAATTGCCAGATGTTTCTTAGTTTGCTTCTCTCTCTCTCTCTCTCTGTGTCTGTCTATTAATCTGCCCTTGTCTGTCAGTCGTAGGATGCATATCTCCAGCATGTACGAGCACTGTATTCAGATGAAGCACCTCTCACAGGAGTTTGTGCTGCTGCAGGTCACACAGGAAGAGTTCCTCTGCATGAAGGCCCTCCTCCTCTTCAGCATCAGTGAGTCTACTTCTGTGTCTCTTTCTGTATGTTCACACACAGATTTTTTTGTCAGAGTACTCATAGATATTAACAACTAATGACATTATATATGCTAGGTAAACTATGAAATGAGCCAAGTCTGACAAGTAGCCAGTTGTAAACACATAAAATGTCTTTAATCCGCATCTTGAAATAGTGGCCTTGGCCTGACCCACCTCAGAGAGCTTCTAGACCAGGGGTATTCAAGTACAGTTCCAAAAGGTCCAGTCTCTATATTTCATTATTTCCTTGTCCGGACAATACTTTTTTGGAATAGTACATACTTACTTACTGAGCCAAAGCAGTGATGTCAAATAATTTTTACCAATATTTACCAAAAAAAAGAGTAAATATTTATCCCAACTGGATATTAATATAAAAAAGTTTAAATCAGATGTTTTATCACGCCTTTTTTTTTTTTTTTTACATTTAGACACCTATGTATGGCACATAGAGGCCTTGGGACTGAGAAAACATACTGGGGGTGCAGGGTGTCACGGTTATGGAGTTTTATATTCTGTTTTGTTTTGTTCCTGTCTCTCTGCTCGGTTAAATTTTGGTTTTCTTGGTCACTGATTATCTCCTCGTTTGTTTCTATTACAAATAATTATCACCTGTCAGTCTTTATGTTCTACGTGTATTTAAACTCCCTGTTTTGTTCAGTCCCTTGTCGGTTCTCGTATGTTTATTGGTTTGCTATTCCTCCTACGTTTCCCTGTGTGGTCCTGAATATTATGAAGTTTAAATACAATCTATTCTGAGTTACTATTTTGTCTCATCGCGCGTGCTGCAGACCAGCCTGTTACACAGGGTTTACCTCTTAAGGAAAGTATGGACCATTTTTATATTTTGCACAAATGAATAAACTGCTAAAAACAAACTACATAATCTAATAATCAGAACTATCATCATGAGCACAAAACGTGATGCTTCGAGAAATTACGCTGTGGGAACACTCTGCATGATTGCATTGTGAAGCATGTGTGAAATCAGTCCAATGTGTGATGGGACGTCAGAGGTGGGTGATGTCACAAACCCGGAAACTATAAAGCATGCCCAAAGAGTGCAGTGCTAGCCACCAATGATGTCCCATCACATCATTGGACTGATTTCACACATGCTTCACGACGCAATCACGCAGAGTGTTCCCACAGCGTAATTTCTCGACGCAGCACGAGTTCAGTTTGTCATCCTTGCCCACGCTACATCATGGGTGAGGATACACATGATTTGTGTGTTGTTTGTTTGGTAGCGGAGCATGCATTGTGAACATCTTCCATTAAGGACACTCCGTTCCCACTTGGCGCTCTTTGGTGCTCAGGCTCACATTCCTCGTGGCTCAGGACCCACTGCTGCCAAGGCACAGCGGCGATTCAGTTCATGGGGATCACAAATGAATTTAGCAGAGGGGTTAGAAACGTGCCCAGCCTTATCTCTGCCCTCATCTGCTAGATCCAGTGCCTTCTCTTAGGGTTTGGAAGCATGCATTCTGGTTTCTTCCGCCCCGAATGAAGCACCAGTGCTGCAATTATCTAGCTCTGAGGAGTTAGATGTTGTAAGCATCGATGCAGGAGATGCTGAGGACTCGCCACCTCACTCTCTTACATACGAGGAGCTGGTGGAGGTTGTGACTCGCACTGTCGCCAGATTAAACATTGACTGGCGAAACCAGTCAATTATCGAGTGTATAGTGCACAAACATCACACAATGTTGTACACTTCGGTATTAGGCTACAAAGAGCACGGTTATGGGTCGATGCCTAAGGTGGAAGAGATGCTAGCTAGCTATCTCTCCCCTGAGTCTACATTGTCCCTAAAGGCCCCGATATTACCCACCAAACTGGTCAGAACAACTTCGGCTTTGGTGGGTAAGGCTTATTCAGTAGCTGGTCAGGCTGCAGCATGTTTGCAAACTATGTCATTAGAACCAGTCAGTCATGCAGTTCAAATTCAAAATGCTAACCTTGAGACAAATGCCACAGATGGACCCGAGGACTGGTTTGTCACTAGAGTACTCAAGGATGCATATTTCCATATCTCCATCCTTCCACAACACAGGAAGTTCCTGAGGTTCGCTTTTGGGGGTGAAGCATACCAATATCAGGTTCTTCCTTTCGGTCTTGCTTTATCACCCCACACTTTCACCAAAAGCGTGGATGCAGCACTAGCGCAATTACAACTTCACGGCATCCACATTCTGAACTACATCAACGATTGTATTTTAGCTCAGTCGCATCAGCTGGTGGTTCGGCATCGAGATGTTGTTCTCGCCCATATGAGAGTGTTGAGGTTAAGGTTAAATGCCAAGAAGGTTGTGCCTTCTCCAGCTCAGAGGACCACTTTTTTAGGTGTGGTGTGGGATTCAGTTATGATGCAGGCACGTCTATTTCTGGTGCGCATCGAATCAATCCTGTCAACCATGAACAGAATAAAGCTAGGCCAGTCACACACTGTAAAGCAGTTCCAGAGACTGTTAGACTGTCTAATGGCAGCAGCGTCCAACATGATACCTTTTTAACAAGGGTATCGCTCGACTCCAGGGCTGTGGAGGGGTCATTATCCCATGGCACATTAACTGCATGGAGATGATGGCTGTCTCTCTTGCTCTCAGGAATTTCCTCCCAGACCTCAGGGGGGCCACCATTTGCTTGCTGATACAGACAACACTTCAGTGGTCACCTACATATATCACCAGGTGTTTGCTTTTTGCGTTGGAGCCAAAACCAGGAAGCAGACATCCTGACAACTTGCAGACATCCTGTCTAGGCAGGGGCTGAGGCCAGGGGAATGGAGGCTTCACCCCAATGTGGTGGAGCAGATATGGAGGGTGTTCGGCAGGCATAAGTGGACCGGTTTGCGTCTCAAGAGACGTCTCACTTTCCACTCTGGTTCTCCCTCACGCATCCAGCTCCTCTGGGACTAGATGCTATGGTGCGGATGTGGCCGAGGCTATGTCTGTATGCATTTCCCCCGATCGCTCTGCTCCCGGGTGTTCTGGAAAAAGTTCGCAGGGACAAGGTCATTGTTTTCTAAATAGCCCCACTGTGGCTGGGAAGAGTATGGTTCTCGGATCTCCTGTCTCTCCTTGACGGCTCTCCTTGGGAGATTCCTCTGAGGGGGCCCAGCTCATTGACTCTCCGAAGTTGTTGAGACCATTATTTATTCGAGAGCTCCCTCCACGAGGAAACTGTATGCCTTGAAGTGGGGAGTGTTCACTTCTTGGTGCAGTGGTTATCAGCTGGACCCAGTTAACTGCCCTGTAAGTGCTGGAGTTCCTGCAAGAGCAATTCACTGCAGGGTTATCCCACCCACCTTAAAGGTTTATGTGGCAGCTATAGCTACTTACCACATTTACCACATTCCTTTGGATGTAATGTCTATAGGGAGAGACCTGTTGGTAAGACGTTTCCTCTGTGGCACATTAAGGCTGAGACCTGCAGTACGTACTAGGGTACCAGCTTGGGATCTGGCTGTGGTGCTCCAAGGCCTGTCCATGGATCCCTTAGAGCCTATTGAATAGGTTCCAGTCAAGTTCCTGACTCTTAAAGCATTGTTCCTCCATGTCATAATGTCTCTTAAAAGAATAAGAGATGTTTAAGCCCTGTCGGTTGCCCCTTTGTGCTTGGAATTTGCACCTGGCATGGTGAAGGCATTTCTTCACCCTAGACCGGGTTATATTCCTAAGGTCCCCACTAATGTGGCTAAATCAATTGTGCTGCAGGTCTTCTGTCCTCCTCCCTTCCGGGATCCAGACCAGAAGAAAGTAATCTGCTGTGTCCAGTTCGGGCATTCGATGCTTTTGTCCGCAGAGCTGCCCAGTGGCGTAAATGTCCGTCGAACAGTATCTATTTTTTCTGTTTACCATGCTGCTACACCATTTGAATACCACTGTTCTAGACTATAATCAACAATTCTAATCAATTTTGGCATAATCTCATGAACTGATACTTGATAATTACAGTAGAAAATATTTTCATTAACTAATTTTAAACACCAAAACCACAAAATGTAGCTGGATCTCACATTTTTTTGCTCAATCCTGTTATTGTATGATTTTCTCCCATTACAGTATATATATACATATACTGTGTGTGTGATAATAACTGTTTGCACTTGTTTTTAGAACTGTACATTTTTTATTAATTGTTGATGTTTTTTTAATGTTATACTAGAAAATATTGATCACAGAAATCTGTCTTTTAAATGGTTCCCCCCCTACATCTTGGTTATAGGGTCACAAAAATTTCAAACCTCATAGAAAATGAATAGAAAATTAAACTATATATATTTATATAAAATAATATTTATAAATAATATTATATTTAATATATTACTATATGAAATGTTTTAGTTTAGTCCCCATTTTATACCGTTGTAGTTTATTTCTAATTTATATTACACGGTGAAATGCAAGATGCAATAAGTAAACACACAAAACGTCTCGGTTACGGAAGTAACCCTCGTTCCCTGAGTAGGGAACGGAGACGTTACGTCGGATGACGGAGAATGGGGGTTTCGCCAGAAAGCCTATCATCTTCGAGTATTATAAAACGAGCCAATGGCAATGAAATGCCATGGGTCTGCGGAATTTGCATAGCGTATCTCCGCCCCACCGCGTGGGTATTTAAGGAGAGACACCGGCAAAAGCAGATCATGTCTTCGCTGAGGAGCCGAGACTGAACTCAGGCGTCTACCCAGCGGTACAGCGGAAGTGGCAGGGAGACGTAACGTCTCCGTTCCCTACTCAGGGAACGAGGGTTACATCCGTAACCGAGACGTTCCCTTTCGTAGTCACTCCGAGTTACGTCGGATGACGGAGAATGGGGGTCCCCGTGTAATCACACCACCTTCACAGCTGTCTTCCAGTGCCCTGCGAAGTCTGACGTCCCTGTCGTGATATAGGCACGGACGAAGGAGTCCTACTTAACACAGGAATGCCAAGGTACACTGGGAAGCATATATATATATATATATATATAAATATCGCACGTATCCAGTCCGTGGAGTGGAATGGCGATCAAGCGAAGAAACCTGAGCGGGTCCAGTACTAGCTGACTGAAGTACACGAGTACACGAGAGGACACAGGCTCCACTCTGAGATTCTAAAATCTGGCGAATGTGTTGGGTGTCGCCCAGCCTGTAGCTTCTGCAGATGTCTGCCAGCGAGGCGCCATGCGCTAGAGCCCAAGAGGAAGCCACACACCGGGTGGAGTGCGCTGTCACACCAAGGGGGCACGGTCGGCCAATTATCGGCCACTATCCAGTGAGACAACCTCTGCTTTGAGAGAGCCTTTCCCTTCAGTCTCCCACCATAACAGACAAAGAGCTGGTCTGAGGTCCTGAAACACTGCGTCCTGTCTACGTAAGCACGGAGAGCGCGTACTGGACAGAGCAGTGCCAAGGCTGGGTCTGCCTCATCCCGGGGCAGCGCTTGCAGGTTCACCACCTGGTCCCGGAAGGGAGTGGTGGGAACCTTGGGCACATATCCAGGCCGGGGTCTCAGGATCACGTGAGAGTGACCCGGCCCGAACTCCAGGCACGCTTCGTCAACGGAGAATGCGTGCAGGTCCCCTACCCTCTTGATGGAGGCCAGTGCAACCAGGAGCGCTGTCTTCATATACGGGAACTTAAGCTCAGCTGATTGCAGAGGCTCAAAGGGAGCCCTCTGCAGGGCATTTAACACCACTGAGAGGTCCCAAGAGGGAACGAGAGGAGGGCAAGGAGGATTCAGTCTCCTCGCTCCGCTCAGGAACCTGAGGATCAGGTCGTGCTTTCCAAGAGACTTACCTTCAACTGGTTCGTGATATGCGGCGATAGCTGCCACATACACCTTCAGGGTGGAGGGAGACAGCCTTCGCTCCAACGCATCTTGCAGGAAGGAAAGCACGACACTGATCGAGCATCTCCTGGGGTCTTCTCGGTGAGAAGAGCACCAGTTGACGAAGAGGTTCCACTTCAATGCATAGACATGTCTCGTGGACGATGCTCTAGTCTAGCGGAAGTGATGGTAGCCGCCACCGCTGGTGGCAGGGTACTCAAACCTGCCTCGTCCCGTCCAGGAGCCACACGTGGAGGTTCCAAAGATCGGGACGAGGGTGCCATAGGGTGCCCCGTCTCTGAGAAAGGAGGTCCTTCCTCAGAGGAATTGGCCAAGGAGGTGCTGTCGCGAGGAGTATCAGTTCGGAGAACCAGGTCCGGGTGGGCCAGTACGGCGCAACCAAAATGACCTGCTCCTCGTCCTCCTTGATCTTGCACAGGGTCCGTGTGAGAAGGCTCACTGGGGGAAACGCATATAAGCGGAGGCCCCGCGGCCAGCTGTGCGCCAGTGCATCCGTGCCGAGCGTGCCCTCGGTCAGGGAGTAATACAGGGCGCAGTGGGATGAGTCGTGGGAGGCAAACAGGTCTACCTGTGCGTCCCCGAACTGGTCCCAAATCAGCTGGACCGACTGGGGATGGAGTCGCCATTCGCCGGAGATGGGCCGAAACCGTGACAGCTCGTCGGCTGCAAAGTTCCGATCTCCCGGAATGTAAATAGCTGAAGCGGTCTCATATGAAGCAATCCGAGTGGCGTTGCTGCGGCTGCAGATGCCATATGCCCCAGGAGCCTCTGAAACGATTTCAGTGGGACCGCACTCTTGCCATCGAACTGTCGAAGACAAGTCAGCAGTGAGTGTGCGCGCTCTCTCGTAAGCTGCGCGGACATGGCGACCGAGTCGATCTCCATACCGAGAAAAGAGATCCTCTGCACGGGGCAAAGTTTGCTCTTCTCCCAGTTGACCCGAAGGCCCAGACGGGCTAGGTGCCGGAGCACAAGGTCTCTGTGTACGCAAACCTGATCTCGAGAGTGAGCTAATATTAGCCAGTCGTCGAGATAATTCAGGATGCGAACCCCGTGTTCGCGTAGGGGAACAAGGGCTGCCTCGACGACCTTCGTAAAGACACGAGGAGACAGAGCCAGCCCGAATGGGAGAACCGCGTACTGGTATGCCTGCCCCTCGAAAGAAAACCGAAGAAACGGTCTGTGTCGAGGTAAAATGGAGACATGAAAGTAGGCGTCCTTCAGGTCTATCGCTGCAAACCAATCCTGTGGCCGCACGCATTCGAAGATGCGTTTGGCCGTGAGCATCTTGAACGGCAGCCTGTGAAGGGAGCGGTTCAAGACGCGCAGATCCAGGATTGGCTCGTAACCCACCGGTCTTCTTGGGGACAATGAAGTACGGGCTGTAAAACCCTGACCTCATTTCGGCTGGAGGGACAGTTTCGATTGCACCCTTCGCCAGCAGGGTGGCAACCTCCGCTCTCATGATCGGGGCATTGCCACCGACCATAGTAAAGCGGACTCCCCTGAAGCGGGGAGGAGACCGTGCGAATTGGATCGCATAGCCGAGCCTGATAGTTCGGGCGACCCAGCGGGACAGGTTGGGAAGCTCTAACCAAGCTCCTAAGAACTGAACCAGCGGAATCATCCGAACCACAGACGTCCCCCCGGAGGGGCAGCGAAGCGGAGTGACCGGCCCAGGCGAGGGTGGCATAGCGGCCCGGTGCGGGGGCGCGGTCATGCTCCGCGTCCTGACAGAGGAGACCAGGGAAGGACCAGCGTTCCACGGGGGTCTGCTCTGCCAGGGGTCTAGCGACAGAGGGGGACGAGAGCGGTGTGGTCCGGAGACGGCACACACTGTCATCCGCGCCCTCAGAGACAGAGGAGGACGAGAGCGGCGAGGCCCGGGGGCGTCGCGCACTGTCATCCGGCTCTGTGTGCTCAGTGATGGACATTTCGGTTCTTTCTTTAACCACATTAGGGTGCTGCCCACCCGTGGGTGAGCAGCGGGGAGTGGAGAACAAAAAATTCCCCCCCGGCCCTCCACCGGGGGAAGGAGGGGGCCTGCAACCACCTCCTGGGAAAAAAACGGTTCCATCACTTCCTCCACGACGCGGCCCGGGTGAAGGCTGCTGCTAGGGGGCCGTGTGGGAGGGGCGGGAGCCACAGGAGGGCGCCCTCGGCGGCGAGCAGGCTGAGGCGTCTGTACCGATGGCTGGGTGGAGGCAGCAGCGCGCCGTAGGGGCAGAATGTGTTTTATCGCCTCAGACTGCTTCTGTGCGGTTGAGAACTGCTGGGCGAAGTCCTCAACCGCTCCGCCGAAGAGGCCGGCCTGGGATATGGGGGCGTCGAGCAGACGAGTCCGCTCAACGACCCGCATATCGGCCAGGTTCAGCCACAGATGACGCTCCTGGACCACAGAGGTGGCCATCACCTGACCCAAGGAACGTGAGGCCACTTTCGTCGCTCGGAGAGCGAGGTCAGTGGCGGCACGCAGCTCATCGAAGAGCTCGGGGTCAGTCCCGCCCTCGTGCATATCTCTGAGCAGCCTGGCCTGGTAGACCTGCAGGGTGCTCATCGCATGCAGGGCAGCGGCCGCCTGTCCTGCAGCTCTGTGAGATCTCGCCACCAGGGTAGACGAGAATCTACAGGCCTTGGACGGGTGCTTAGGAGTACCACGAGAAGAAGCACTCTGAGGACACAGTTGCATCGCAACAGAGCGTTCAACCGGGGGAATCCCAGTGTACCCATGGGCGACCGCGCCATCGAGGGGAGGAAAGGCGGAGAAAGCTGTCGAACGCTCACGGGAGGTCAAAGGAGCCTTCCATGACTTCGACAGCTCCTCATGCACTTCCGGGAAGAATGGAATTGGGGTTGGCTGTGGCCGTGAAGCGGCAGCCGCACCCAAAAACCAATCATCCAACCGCGAGCGCTCGGGGCAGGGCGGAGGATTCCACTCTAGCCCGATGCTCGCGGCGGCCCGGGAGAGCATGGCCGTCATCTCGGGATCTGACACGGGCAACGCTGGCACTCCCGAGGGAGGCAACGCAGCCGCATCATCACTTCCCGATGACTCATGCCCACCTTGTGATGCCGCGATCGACATTGAATCCTCTGGAGCGCCGAATGAAACACGCGGGGCATCCGCAGATGGACCCGCCTGAATCACCGCGGCACTCGCGGGTTGCAACACTGTAGAGGGGGGCGTGGTCCGAGGACGCATCGTCGGATTGTTCCACACCGTCACCCTCAAGTCACCCTGTCCACCAGCCGAAGTACCACCTCTCGTGGAGGGTGTAGATCGGGGTGTGGATGAGGGGACTCTCTCTCGAACGAGATCATTGAGTCTCGACCTCAGTGTTGCGATGGACATGTTCCCACAGAAGGAACATGAGTCATCCACAAGCGCTGCTTTAGTGTGCTCTAAGCCCAGACACGCAAAGCAGCGATTGTGCCCATCAAAGGAAGATAAATATCGACCGCACCCAGAAGAACACGGGCGAGACATCTTTAAAAAGACGTGCCACGTGCAGCTCTTTTAGAGAGGAAAAACTCTGCGATGCTGAGGCGACCAGGGAGAAACACACAGACAGCAGACCACTGCTCAGATCGCAGGCAATGTGAAGCTCGCTGGATACCGCCGTCACACCAACACCGGAGAGTTCGCTCGTCTCGAAGAGATGAAGTCACTGATACTCAGGATTTGGCTTGTGGAGTGAAGAGATGCTCTTGGCTCCGAAGCGAAAACATGATCTGCTTTTGCCGGTGTCTCTCCTTAAATACCCACGCGGTGGGGCGGAGATACGCTATGCAAATTCCGCAGACCCATGGCATTTCATTGCCATTGGCTCGTTTTATAATACTCGAAGATGATAGGCTTTCTGGCGAAACCCCCGTTCTGAGTGACTACGAAAGGGAACTGGTGTATTTCAATGAAAACATTTGTATGCAAGTTCAGGTGAAAGTATTTATTTCTATTTCTGCAGTTCCAGTGGAGGGGCTGAAGAGTCAGAAGTATTTTGATGAGCTGCGTCTGACATATATAAACGAGCTTGATCGTTTAATCAACTATGGCAGGAAGACCAACTGTGCCATGCGCTTCCAACAGCTGACCCGATTGATGGACTCACTGCAACCAGTAAGTAACACGCATACACGCAATCACATACACGTAGATAAAAACACATACACACATACAGAGACACACCATACATAAAATTCATTAGTGTGTTACATGCATTACTGGCCCCATGATGCAGTTCCGTTCAAATGTTTGGGGTCAGTAATATTTATAAATAGCTTTAATTGATCAAAAGTGACAGTGAAGCCTTTTAGATAGTTACAAAACAGTTATATTTTTAAAAAATGCTTTCGTGGTTTCCACAAAAATATAAAGTAGCACAACGATTTTCACCATTGATAATGATAAGAAATGTTTCATGAGCAGCAAATCAAGCATATTAGAATGATTTCTGAACGATAATGTGGCACTGAAGACTGGAGTAATGATGCTGAAAATTCAGCTTTGCCATCACAGGAATACATTACATTTTAAATTAAAATATATTGAAATAGTTACTTTTACTTGTAATACTATTATATAATTATTTGCACTGTATTAAATAAGTCATTATTTGATCAAATAAAGCTTTGGTGAGCATAAGAGACCTCTTTTTAAAACAAAAAAATCTTGCCAGCCCCAAACCTTTGAACGGTAGTATACTTTTTTTCATACAAATAAGACAGTTACAGGCGAATTCACTAAAAAGTTGCACTACTTTTGCATAAATGCATTTTATTTGTTAATAACACGCCCAAACCATCTCCATATAAGGGCTTTCCACACGCACTTTCCTTACAGCCTTTCGTCACTCTCGTCAAACTTGCCGCTGTTTGCAGATGCATTTTCTCCCGATCCTCGAGCAATGCCAAGTGTGCCATTCTCACCAGTTCTCACAATAAACATCTTTTATACAGACCTGCATATATCTGCATTATTCAGAGAAACCGCGCATCTGAAGCTATTACGCAGCTTTTCTGACTCTTTAACTGTATATGATGGAATGCATTTAAGATTAAATTAAATTGTATTATTTAATAATTTTATTATATAATTTTATATAATACAATTAATGCAACATACTTCAATATAATTATAGTGGTGTTAGGATGAAATACAATTTCTTAACACGATTATAAGACCGTACAGAGTAAGTGCTTTTTGAGTACATGTGGTTTCAGTTGTTCCTATATTTTGTCATAAATTTAGAATACATTTTATTATGAAATTTTTGGTGAATCGTGATTTGTTCTTAAAATCATTCAAATGCACTTTTCGAGCACAAATTTGTAAATACGCATGCTTAGTGAATGAGACCCATTGTTTCTAGCGCAGACACACCATTCTATGTAAATTAGGCTCATTATTGATTAGGGGTGGGAATCTTTTGGTACCTCACGATTCGATTCAAATCGATTCTTGATGTCACGATTCGATTAAAATTCGATTCTCGAATTTGAATCAAATTTCAATTCGATATGTGCATAGATTTGATTGTAGTTTACTGCTTTGTGTTACTTTTCTTATTTGACTGCAGTAGACAGTTTAATAGTTCTAGAAGAAAAATAATCCTACTGAATTAAAAAATGTATTTCGTTTTTCTTCCTATTTTAGTCAACTCAATACAACAAATGCCCTTTAAGCTTTCTGCAATTATTACACACAGTCTTCTGTAATAAAGCAAGGCAAGTTATTTTATTTTATTTTTGATATTAAAAATAGGAACAAAGAAGCAAATTACAAACAATAGGACAAATACAATAGAAAAAATATACAAATAAATAAACTTTAAGTTTTTCAGGTACAGTAGCATAGGTTTATTTAACATGTAGAAATACTAACGAAATTGAATAATCAAATGTAAAAATAAAACACTGTATAGTCTTCACTGTATGAATTAAATATAAATTGATTCATATTAAAGATTAAAAAAAATCCTACTGTCCACAGTCAACACGATGTGCATTTTGACATAATTGTGTGTGTACCTGTGAAAGAGAACTGATTTCGAGATCGCATGCATGTGAGAGGCGGCATCGAGTCCTTGTTCACGGCTTATTGTGTCATGTTTATGTGTCAATAACTGTAAGTAACTTTACATACTGTACTGCGAAGTTAAAGAAGTGTGTAACACATTAGAAAATCGATTTTTGAAATTTGTGAATCGATGCAAATCGGTAGAAGATAGAATCGCGGCTCAAGAGCCAGTTAGGGTGAATGCTGGACAATCTTTGTATAGAATGCCCGATTGTAGTAGTCTGCTGCAATGTCCAAAACAGAACAGAATCGAGCAGAGATGAGTTTATTAATTTTTTGGCCATGTGTGTGCGCTGCTAACGGATTCACATTATTCCTTCAGTAATTCTGGTTCTAAAACAAAACAGGTAACACACCGAAATTACAGCACTATTGTCAGGCACAATACATTCTTGGTGAATTCTTCCTGTAATGTTGCCATTTTGCTTATTCCTGTCTCTCCTTTCCCCTCCTTCTCTCTCTCTCTCTTTCTCTCCCTCACCCAGATTGTTCAGAAGTTGCACCAGTTCACCTTTGACCTCTTTGTCCAAGCCCGGTCCCTGCCCACAAAGGTCAGCTTTCCCGAAATGATTGCAGAAATAATCTCGGTCCAGGTGCCAAAGATCCTCGCCGGCCTGTCTAAACCAATCCTGTTTCACAAATGACATGACTACGCCCCTGTACCACTGATCCATACCAACCCCACCCAGGCCATATAAGCCAGTCTGTTCGGCCTGATCCAGTTTGATCCAGCCTAAACCAGCCTACGATGCTTTTAATGTGGACTCGAATCGAGCGATGAGACTGAATAATACAGATTTTTTGATTTCTAACCTCCCTGCATCCCTCCCTCCCTTTCTATATCAGTCTCGTCTCCCTCGTTTTGAAAAATGGCCCTGAAAAGTAGCGGGACCATTACATCATTACAGTTGTCTATCTTCTCCTCAGAGATCATTTGAGCTCATTTTCTCAAACTGACAGCACGGTTTTGTTCTTTCTTTCGACCAGCAGTTATCCTTCAAGAGTTACAGCGTGTTGCCCGGTGGATATGTTGGAAAAAATATCACTGAAGTTTCACCCGAGCCCTTAATCAAAAAAAAAGAAAAAAGAAAAGACATTACATAGATCCCTATCAGAGTGTGACCTGCCTTGACTCTCTATGCATCGTGGGATAAAGAGGTTTGATTTATTGTCTGTGAATTGATAGATCAGGACAAATCAAAGCTACATGATTCGAGAAATACATCTGAACGTGGCGAAAACCAAGACAAATCTCTGCGCTTATGACTTTTCCTCTTGTTAGTTAGAACAACACACTGCTAAATACAGTACTGTAGTATTAAAACAATATGGTATAGAATTCAGGACAGCAGAGTTTCCACCCTGCTTTATTAGTTTATTGATTGTAAAACAAGTGCTTCATTCATTTCTTATGAAATGTAGAGGCTCTTTATAAAAGCTTTTTAAAAGGCATTATTCATTCAGAATGTTTAGATTCTGTGACTTTTTCGTTCAATTGAAAATCTATGACAGTTGGGATTGAAAATTGCCACTGAAAGGCTGAAAGGACAGCACGATGAAAAACATCTCAGTCATCGCGAGTTGCCTCCTCTAGACAGCAGACTTTTGTTAAGACAAGGCTCAGCACCCTTTTTACAACCCGGATATTTAAGTTCAGGTTTTAGGGTATAATGTTGACAGTTTGTATATAGAACATAAATACAGCAAAGCTTGGGTCAGCATAGAAGATCTTCAAAAAAATATTCATTTAAATCTATGCATGCTGTCTTCATATCCATCATGAAAAAACAACAAACAAATAATTGCATGCTAAAGCCCTAGATATATATATAAAAAAATAAAAAAATAATTTTAAACTGCATTTCCAGTAAGCTAAATGGATATTGTTAGGAAACAGGACTGTTTTCCCATAAGGCTCTTATGAAGTCTCTCTCTCTCTTTCTTTCTTTATCTCTCTCTCTTCACTGTGCTTAATGGAAGAATTGGCAAGGTAATGTTCTTGTATATATATGTAAAGGTTAAGCGTGGTTCTTTTCAACCTTTCTTTGTGCTAATGTATGGATGTAGTCAATAGTTTAACAGTACAGTTTCCTCTCTTTCCTTTATAGTAAGTGCCACTAAGGGATTTGTATTTCTCCACGCTAGCAATAAGTAATCACATGCTTAACACACTCTTTTAACAAGCACATTTAGAATACAAAAACACGCTTCAAATGATACACAGATTTAAAAAACAAACAAAACAAAACAAAAAAGAGCTATGCGTATGTGACAACACTGGACAGTACTGTTATTTTATCAGGAACTCGTACCAAACATCATGATCACCATCAACTGCCGCAAATCAACGGCAAGAGGTGCTAAAGCTCTCCTGTTTATTCACGAGGGTGTTAAATGAGACAAAAGACAAAAAAAAAAAAAACAAGGCATATGTATTTTTACTCCGCTTTTGCTTCAATTAAAGCATTCTCTATTTATCCTTCAGAAAGTAACATCTTTACTTGTATTTTCTAGATGTCTTTTTCCTCTGCACGCTCTTTGTTTCTAAATGATTGAATAATGCCTGCAGCGTTATGTATGTAGATTACTCTTTAAAGAGCCCAGAAATCACGATGCAGTTGTCTTTGTCAGACCTGGGGTGACCTGGGGTGTGCTTTCAGCAGAGCAGGGAGTTTTCCGCCGAGTTAAAACGACGAGATGTGGTTTAGCTGCTCAGGCTCTTGTCGCCGCAGTGCATGTTGACGCTTTAAATGTGCCAGGCAGAGAATAGGCTGTCAGAGACAGCTCTTCTGCGCTGACAGCACCGAGCACCGCACAATTACACGCAGGTGTTTACCCATTTAGACGGCCCAAAAGCACTCATTAGAATTTGCAGAACTCCAAACTGCACTTTTACCCTGCCAAAAAAAGAGCTCATGACTTCCACAACAAACAGGCAGCACTTTAGGACGGAGCTGAAGCCAAAGTCTGATCACAAAAGTCGTTCATTAGCCGGCGGAACTTTGGAGGGGGACACTTGCATGTAAAGACAAATATAGCTCATTCATACTTGACTTTGTAAGAGACACTCTCTGTCTTACAAATGTTTAAAATGGAACGTTTCTAATGTCATTTAGCGACACTCAAATGTAACACCCCGCATGTGTGAACCAACTAGTGCTTGGATGGTCCATACGCTGATTTGTGACTTTCTTAAGACATCTCTTAAGAGCTATGATGTAGAACTTTGTGTGTTGGATTTACTGTTACTGTGTGCGGTGTGACAGCCAATAGCAAAAGCATATGTTTATATGCACTCTTGTAAATCTGTCAGTTATTGAATTTGGCCTGTGTTAATGACAAAAGGTTTGCTAGGATCCTGCCAATGTTTCGTCTCTCACGTGAACAACAGAACCTAGAGTCTTAATAACAGTCTGCATGTCACCAGGATGCTTCCTGTGGTTATAAATTGGCCTGTCAGTACACAAGGGAGGAAAAATGCTATATAACAATCTCTCAATGATAGAATATAATTTTCTAATGTGTATTACTGCGAAGTATCTTGAAATGAAGAGCTACGTTAAACTGAAACAAGAGCACCACACTGGTTTACAGACACTAAATGTGCTAATGAAACCATATAATGAAACCATGAAATAGCTGTATCTATTTATGTCCTGTTTCAGCTTTGTAAACCATATAAGAACTCCCATATGTGTAACAATGACTTTTTTTTTTTTTTACTCTCTTTGCTGGCTGATACGAGCAATTACACGACTAATCATTAGCGAATGCTTTTTTTTACAGCTTTTTTCTCTGTGTGAATAATTCCTGTCTTTTCCTGGTGTTATGGGATATTTTTTCGCATTTCCATATGCAGACTGAGGAGCTGGGTAGTTTGGCTTTATATGACTAGAAGAGGAAATTCTGGCTTCTTAAACGATGTTTGTTACTTAAATCTTTGTAACTTTATAGTCTTTTTTTACAGCCGTTGTGTGTATGTGTGAGTCTGTGCATGCACGCTTTTTGCAGGTAATTTAGTGGTTATGTAGTGTTGTATTGACATTTGTTAACTGATGATTTCTTTTTTCAGTTTGCAAACTGATTTCCACTCATATGGAAAATGCTTATCAGACACGGTCTGATTCCTGTTGTGTAGAGCCTGTGTAAATCGGGTTTGTTTGTGCTTTACTTCTTTCAATTCAATAAAAACATTTGAAACTCTTGAAAGTCCTTCTTTGCAACTTTTTTTCTGAAACACACCCTGAGTCGGATGGACATAAACAATATCATGCAAAAGCAACTGGGCACTACAGACATTTTCTATGGTGGGAGCTTGTCTACCCTCTTAAGGGTAGCTGTGACTGGTGCACAGCTGTTTTAATTTAACTGGATTCCAAAGGACCGTTCTCCTTCCAATCATTTATTGATTATTATCATGAGGTCATTTAATTTTATAGATTTACTTCTACTCTGGATTGACTCAGTGCACTTTCACGTACAGCTTACTTTCATAAGAATAAAACAGTTCATCTCTTTTAATAAAGTATCATTTTTTTGCAGCAGTACATTTAAACAAAAAAACAAACAGGGTTTAGTGACTGTTACGAAGAATTAGAAAGTGAGAGCTTGACGAACAGCAAGAAAATGTTTACAAAAACTCACCAAACCCACCTAAAGTGACCTTAAAATTTCAACCTTATTGTAACTGAAGTACCAAAAACATACTGACATATACATTTACATTTCCACATTTACAATTGTGTGAAAGTGAGAATGAGACTTAAAATCTTTAGATTTCACACAGAAGATTCCCACTGACCAAAAGAAACCAATAAATGTTCATCTTTCGGTCAACGTTTGAGACTTGAAAGTGAGGTTAAGCTGAATACCAAAACTGATCTCTCTATAACATTAAGGTTGACTGATCTTTTTTTTTTTAAAAGGGGTCGAGAGGGAGAGAAAAACATATTGAAGCGTCCTTTGCTCTGTAAACTAGTCAAAGTAACGGAAGTTCCTCAATCCCTTTTGGTTTGCTGTAGGAACACGACAAGCATTTCATAACGGTTAAAAGGAGAAGCGGTTTTCAATTACTGCAACTACTCTGCTTGTCAGAAACATTTCAAACCAGCACTGCACTTCATCTCTTTCCAGTTACTAATTACTGAGTAATAACAGATAATTAATAGAAGCATGTTCATCTTCTGAGTAATTAAATACTGATTAGTGTTGATTCGGAATAGTACCACCTTTTACCACTCACAAAGTGAAGTCTGTAGTGTGTCTGAAGAGTGAGACTGTAAATCCGTAAGTCTTATCGGTTTCAATAAAGTAGGTCAGAGAGAAAGGGAGATATTGAGAGACACAATGAGCAAGAGAACAGGAGGGAGTTCTCCCTATTGTGCAGGAAGGTCAAAATGTTTAAAAAAAGAAAAAAAATATTCATTGCTTTCTTTTTGTTCTCTGATCCGAGCAAGAATCAAAGACTTCATTTTACAACAAAGTAAGCAAGTGCAAGAAATTGGCGGCGAAGCACAAAAAAATAGTACCCTGCCCAATTCACACACACAAAACAAACAAACTGGGGTCAAGGGGCGTTCCTTCATGCTCTGCCAGTAACATTAATAATTGTTCTATTAAAATCACATCCAGACTCCAGGCCTGTGCTGTGCCGTACATGGACACATACAGTCTCTTGACCGCTGACATGCGTTAATTGGTCCACAAGACATTGATCCACAAGTTGTATTAGTGACTGGAAGGAAGTTCCTATTTAGTGTTCTGCAAAGATAAACAAGTGACAGAAATGAGCATAAACACTATAGGTTACTTTAATAATTAAAATAAGACAGTAGAACATGCCGTACCTCATCTCTAGAAGCTGCAGTTGAGGCATTCGGAGGGGAGCTGCAGGACAAAAAACAGTAAGTTATTATAAATTTCATTCTTTTCAGTAACTTCAATAGATAGTTCACCCCAAAAAAAAGAAAATTCAGTCATTATTTACTCACTTGTGTTGTTCCAAACCCGTTAGCTGTTTTATTTTTTTTCGTGGAAAATGTACAAAGTTTAAATTATTTCTTACTGTTTTCCCTACAATGGCAGTACAAAGG